TTTAAAATCAAAAGTTTCATTTTGAAAAAAAGATATATATATTTGTAAATAATAAAATTCCATGTCAGAATACACTTAAATTCTAACTGTGTTCTTTTCATTTTTAATGGCGACGGTCTCTTATTTGAAAGTACGTGAAATTAAATCCACACCCCTGTAGTCAAGTAGTTTTTCCCGTCTTTTCTACACGTACAGTTATAGAATGTTCTGGAAATATTTAAAGTGAACTGGATTGGCTGACGTCATTTCTTGGAAGCTCCGCCTTTCCAGAGGCTATAAAAGCACTCGCAAAAGAATATCGGGGGCTTTTTCTTAAATGTCACGATGCAGTAAACTTCATACAAAAAGTTATTAGTAATTCTTTTTATTTACTCCGGATATCTGATTTTGTAACTGCTATTTCTCCTGAATAATAATAAATGGATCCTGTTTTTTTTTTTTTTTTAAACTTATCGTCTGATAATTTAAGCTACGACTAAAGCTGGTACATCACATATATATATATAAACATTTGTATATTTATTTTTATTTCTTTTATAAATTTGCTTTGTTTACTACACTGCTGCACCTCGAAAGAAAGCAAGTAATAAAATCAAATTTATTTTACAAATACATTATAATGAAAGGATGAAAAGATTAAGATTTAAAGTATTCTTGAGGTACAAAGCATGCAGAAATTGTATAATGAGCACCCACCTATGATAGTAATAGTTACTGTTAGATGGCTGGGTATGGATTTGAATAGAGTTTGTATGGCATTTGGGAATATTGCATTCCATGCAGTTTCAATTCTATGCCAAAGTTCATCTCTTGTACTGACTAGTAGGTATTGCTGTGCGGTCTGTCTGCAACCATTGATTTAGACCATTGATTTCTTTTTAGTATGATACCTATTCTTTCATGTGCATTCTTACGGCAACTTTTCCAATACTCATTTGTTTTGTGACTCTTACACCCCTGCTGTCTTTTGGAGCAAACTCTACATTATGCTGTTGTAGAGTAATGATTCCCTATCTGTGCTCTGCAACGGGCTCTGTGTGCACTTCCCAGGGGCTTTTCAGCTGTACCAAGAAAATAAAATATAAAATAAATGCTATTAAGAATAAACTATAATGTCCTTGTTGATTTGTGAAATTTAAACTACATTTAATTAATAAATGATTTACATGTAGGTACTGCTACAATACAAAGTCTGATCCGAACTCGTCGAGACTTTGGCGATTCTGGATTTGGGATTTTTCCGGATATTAGATCAACAGTTTAAATCTAGTAAAATGGTATGTAGAAATTATAAAATTAAAAATCTGAAATCATGATTCATGAAATAATAAAGCATTTATGATCGAAAAGGTGTCAAAATTTACCAAAAAAAAAAAAAAAAAGGCTTAACATTTATTTGTTTATTTTATTAAACATTACTTTCAATGTAAATTCTTTAAATTGCTTGTTTTTTTTTTTTTTTTTTTTTTTTTTTTTTTTTTTGTGCTAATACCTTCGCTTTAATTCTATAGACAGACATAATTTCTTGTTCAGTTACAAAGTTCCACTGTTCAAGTCCTGTAGTTGTTGTGCCGAGAATTTCGACTAACTTGTCAATTGAGATTTTTTCATTTTCAATAACCTCTCTGTCACTTTGTTACTATCGGTAGCAGTACTTTCTAGACCTAGAATCATACTACATATTTCGCCATCCATTAATTGATTGATGATTGAGCATCATAATTAAAAACTTTTGTTATATCATCTTCATTTATTATCGCTTCTCCATATTTCTTTACAAAATCCCTTAATTGGAAAATTTCACCTTTAGTTTGCGATATCCGAAAACCTTCCTATTCGCAGCTGTCATCTTCGACATCCTCACCATGAAATATGGTACCTGGCCAAAAATTATGCCAAGCATTTTGTAAAGTGTCTGGAGACACATCCTCCCATGATCTTGCTATCCTCCACACAGCAGATTTCATGCTAAAACACAGGGCTAACATAAATGATTCATTCATTTTGAAAAGGCTATATTTTAAAAAGGATTACATATCCACACATGAAAAATATATGAAAGAATCACAAACTCATTAAGTTTTTTTCACTATTTCACCAAGTTTCCCATATAAGTGGAATGTTGCTTCATCGCTGAATATCAGCTTGGTGGTGAAATTTTTGTCCTCCAATGCTTCCTGCATGTTGATGCAAAAATCTAGTCAACAGTCGTAATTCTTCGGCTTTAATTGTTGCAGGAGCTACACGTGGTTCGGTTTGAAATGCAACCATTGACGTAAAATCTTCCAGACAGTTTTTTGCGATATTCAGAACATCTGGTCAATTGATAGGATGAACATCTGGACAACAGTGCTACAAAGTGTATGGAATGAGCTCGATTATCATCTGGACGTGTGTCGTGTCACCATAGGGGCAAATACTGAATATTTGTAGAGGGTGTATAAACTTGGTGAGTTTATGGTTCTTTTCATACATCTTTAATGTACGTAAAATACTTTTGAAAATATAAAGCTAGCCCTGTGTTTCAAAAGTTCTTGAATTGTCTTGCCATTATTCAGGAAATTTAACATGGATTTAAAATGCTACTTTATATTTGCATTTCAGCGTGCACACTATTCCAATATCCATAGGCTGAATGATGAATTTTCAGGTTGGAAGAAAGAACATTATCTATAGATACATTATCTTTCACTTAAAGCAAGTGAAATATGTGTGTGTGTGTGAGTATGGCAAAGCCTTGAGGGCTATCTGCCTAAGAGGAGGGATGCCTTCGTGGAGGACTTTCTAAGGTAAACTGGCTCGTATACACGTTACACATGGGGAAAACCACGAAAACGCCCATGCAGCCAGCCCGTTCGCAGGATTCGAACCTCGGACCGAACTACCAGTGTTCAGCAACTTTACCTCTCGGCCGCTGGTGGGCCCGCAAGTGAAATATGAGCTGAACAGTTATCTACAATCAGGACAATTTCATCAGGTAAACTGACAAATTTTGCCGAGCCTTGGGTATGAAATGATTTTCAAACCAGTCATTCATTAAAGCCTGTGTCATCCATGCTGTTTTATTTGCACGACATATAACAGAGAAAGTCTTTACTCCTTTAAATTCTTTAGGTCAGTATTTTTTCTTATTACGAAAAGTTTACACTTGTGCATTCCTGCAGCATTTGTGCATGTTAAAATTGTTAGTCTTGTTTTGGAATCTTTGACACCAGTTGGAGCCTTTCCTTTAGAGATTGCCAAGGTATTTTGCCAGAAAAGACCAGTTTCATTAGCGTTGTAAATTTGCCCCGGAGATAACTTTTTGCTATCAATGAGTTCTATGAATTCATCTGCAAATATTTCAGAAGTTTCAGTATCAGCTGAAGCTTTTTCATGTGGAATTTCTAATTGCCTTATACCACAGTGATTTTAAAATTTGGTTAACCAACCTGTCAAATACATGCACTGAGTTTTTAAGTTCATTTCTTTATGAAGTATTCTGGCTTGATCCATTAGCATTGGACGTCAATGGCATGCCCTTGCTGCAACGCTGTCTGACCCATTCAATCATCACTTTTAGCATACCAAATAACAGGGTTCGTAGCGGTCCTTACAAGTGCTTATAAGTCCTTATATTTGAAAATAAAATATAAAGACCCTTATAGGTGCTTACTTTTTCTTTAAAACCTTTTTTTTTGTTTTTGTTTTTTGTTTTTAGTGCTTATTTCTTGCTTTTAGTGCTTTTTTTTTTAATCCTTTGTTTTTAATGAACGCGCATTTTTTTTTCCCCGTACCAAAGCCGAAACTAAATAAACAACTTTTCTTCCTTATATGCAACGTCAGATGGTGAATCATACTCCCGAAAAATTGCTTTTCCCCCCTTTCCTCTGCATTAACGTAACCTATGGTAGCGCGCGAGAGTACAGGCAGGTGCATGTCGTTCTATTGGCTCAAAGAATTGCGAAAACAGTAGAAAATTCCGGTACATTCGGTATTCTTTTCCTCCCACCCAAATACTACACACCGTTTGAATTTCTATCAAGATTTTAATAATTTGCATTCTTTCGTTCCGCGTGGTCAGTTCATATTCGTCGTTTATTGATGATCGGTTATACTTATATTATGAGCATATGTATGAATATTTATGGTATATATATAGTTGCAGTAACTGCTGAAGTATAGATAAACTTCCAAAAAATGGGTAAGTGTGATTTTACACAGATTAGCTTTCTAAGAAATAATATTCGGAATGGCTTAGATAAAAGGAAAGTAATTGAATAGTCAAAATAATTTCATTTTCTTTTCCAATACATTATACAGTACGGAGGTTGGGAGTTTCTCCGCAAAATCTGTAATATTGAAGCAGCGGACTTTTTTTTTTATCACTGTCCAATCTGGATTGAATAGGACTAAAAGTTTTTGCGGTCTACCCAACCCAAGCGAAGATTGAGTCTATTCCGGAAATTTAATACAGTCTGTTGAAAATTAGAATAAGAAACACCCCAGATTAGTAAGTCTCTTTCTTTTCCTTTATTTAGTTCTTTTTTCTCCGAATACCATACCGGCAGGTGTTGATTCCGATTGCGTAATATCACATATGGAAGAATTACGTCGCACGTATTGTGCAATAACGTTTGTGGTATTTTGCACTAATAATTAATTTTGATGTTCAGTCTGAGATTTGTTTATGAACACTTGAAAGAGTTTTACTGTGCTTTCTAAGCAGAATATTTCTCAGTTCCGTTGGTTTTTATATGATGCACATATCGAAATGTCAAAATCATTTATTTAACCTAAATTTAAATCTAAAGAACGGCTACTATCTCCCCCACTGCTCTTTTTCCAGTTACTATCCGGAATATTCGGGAATTTCCGAGTATGCGGGTTAGTTAAGCTTTAACTGTTAAAGGATGACTGCATGAAGCAATTTCCCGTCTTCTGATTTCAGAAATGTGCCTCTTTTTTTACTTAAATTACTTTGTTTGGGATATATGTTAAGGGAAAACTGTTATGCAATGAAAATTTAGAAAATGTTCAGAATTTTGATTTAAGTTAAATTATTTAAATATTAATACGAGTAGAAAAATAAATTGTATTTATTATTAGGTGCCAAACGAATACAATTAATATGGCTTATTATTATTTTTTTCTATATTTTCAACTGAAATATCATCATTAAATTTTGTAATATAGTTTAGTTCTGCATAGTTTTTTTTTTCTCTCATTGTAAACTAATTCTGTAAATTGAACTGTCATTTAAAATTAAAAAAAAAAAAAGTTAATTGTTTTCCATTGTTGAGGTAATGCTCATTCTCTTAATAAATATTGCATTGCTCATATTTTAAATTACAAGTCTAATTTTTCTTTTAAGGTTATCCAGTTGTGTATAATGTAATTAGACAAGTACTTATTTTTTCCTTAAAATGTGCTTGAAAAGTGCTTATAGGTGCTTATTTTTTTAACTAAAATGTGGCTATGAACCCTGAAATAAATTTTCTGTTAATCATTACGATTGGGGTATTGGAATCAACAAAAAATTCATAAAATTCCTTTTTCTGTTATGTCATATACAGTTGACTTTCCAATGCCATACTCCTTGCATAATTTTGAGACGGATATATCTATATCCATTTTTTGCAGGAATTCCACTTTTTTGGGTGATGGATATCGAAACATGCTTTCACTTTGTAGATCCTGTTGCAGCTCCAGAATTCTTTTTTCGAAGAAACTCTTTTTGACATAATCGAAAAATCAAACTTTAATCTTCATACAATTGCTGTAATAATAACAGCCTGCAAAAAATAATATGCTGGATCAAATCAGAAAGTTAAGGAACAGTGCAATCTGCTATATTAAATGAAATTCTTTGGAATACTTAAAATATAATTTTAGCTTAACTTAACAGCGTCTGGTATACATTATTGGTTATGTAGCATGAGATTGGCAACGAAAGACAAGTTGTTCTGTTAACTTTTGTCTTCCTCCTATTGCACATAAGCCTGAATTGTACTTATTTATTATATAGTACAAAGTCTGTAATCTGGACTCGTTGGGACTTCGGCGATTCCGGATTATAGATCATCAATTTAAATCTGGTAAGATGGCATGCAGAAATTACACAATTAAAAATATGAAACCGTAATTTGTGAAATAAAGAGCAATTATGATCTAAAGGGTAGTATCAAAATTTCCCACCCAAAAAAAGCTTAATATTTATTTGTTTAGTAAACATTTCTATCAATGTAAGTTGTTTAAGTTGCTTTGTTTTTTGTGCTAATACTTTCTCTTTAATTCTATAAACAGACATAATTTCTTGTTTAGTTACAAAGTTCCACTGTTCAAGTCCTGTAATTGCTGTGTCGAGAATACCGACTAACTTGTCAATCGAAATTTTTTCGTTTTCAATAACGTTCTCTGTTACTTTCTTCGCTATCGGCAGCACGCATGGGTAAACGCTTTACTGGCTTTACGCGCATGCATAAGTTTATGGCTTTGAGGTCTGGATTATAGATCATTCCGGATAATGGACATCCAGTTTAGAGACTTTGTACTGTACTTATGTCTATTTCTTGCACATGCGTAAGGCCTTATCCAAGTTGTGAATAAATAAATCCCCACATATACTTAAGCTTACTGAGGCCTGGCGTAGATATTTTACCGCTTGATGCAGTCACTGTGGGTCCTAAATTTTGCCAGATACCTTCCTAAATTCTAAATTTTTTGCTACCCTTAAGTTTTGGGTCCCTGTGCTTTTCCTAAATTCTGAAAATTTTGTCATCACTTAATTGTATTACTTGGTGCTTCTCTAAATTCCAAAAATTTTATCTTCCCTAAATTATGCCGCCCAGTATGGTAATACAAGCTCTGGCGCTGGTTCTGGGTTTATGTGAATAAAAAATCGCTTATTATTTATTGAAATAGCACTAAATGTAATCTTTCTGCCTGTGAGTATAATTAACAATTTTTAGCATATGAATGATATTTTTGTTAAATTTTTCCTCATCAACATTTAATGCATTTAACTTCATTGCCAACATGAAAGGTTACCATACTCTTTGTTATTAAATGACTAATATAAAAAAAACTTAGGCATTGCTGCATGAGTTATTACTCAAGTTGTCATGTGTTGGTACACATGCGGTGATGAAAGCAAAATATAATCCGGACCTCAAAGCCACAAACTTACGCATGCAAGAATGATGGGCGCATCTTCTAAGCATGCGCATAAAGCCAGTAAATCGTTTACCGATGCGCGCTTCCAATAGTGAAGAACGTTATTGAAAACGAAAATATTTCGATTGACAAGTTAGTCGGTATTCTTAACACGGCAATTACAGAACTTGAACAGTGGAACTTCGTAATAAAACAAGAAATTATGTCTGTTTATAGAATTAAAGAGAAAGTGTTAGCACAAAAAACGAAGCAACTTAAACAACTTACATTGATAGAAAGGTTTACTAAAGTAAACAAATAAATATTAAACTTTTTTTTTTTTTTTTTTTTTTTGTAAATTTTGATACCCTTTAGATCATAATTTCTCTTTATTTCATAAATTATGGTTTCATATTTTAATTTGTATAATTTCTGCATGCCATCTTACCAGATTTAAATTGATGATCTATAATCCGGAATCGCCGAAGTCCCGATGAGTCCGGATTACGGACTTTGTACTGTACTAATTTTTTATTCAGCTAATATATTTTCATATATTGGCAACAGCCATTTTCAAAATGGCAGTTTAAAAAAGTGTTTCTGAAACTAAAACAGAAAACAAATAGCAGAACAAAAAATGGGAAGTTTTGAATGGAACGACTAGTTGAATTACATCTTTTGGAACAATAGCATTGCAAAACATGATCTCCAAATGATAACAATACTCACTTTTGCCAGAGCTTATAAACTAAATAATATATTATTATTCTCTTTTTTTTTTTTTTTTAACATTAGCAAAGTTCGTTATGAATGCGATAAAAGCGGTCAATAGATAAAATTTAAAAACAAACAAACGTCGGTAATAAAATATTTATCTTTTTCAAAAAGTTATTATGTAATTTTTTTCTTGTTCTATTCTCCCATGTGTACAGTTAAATGTTTTTGCTTAAAAAACATGACAGTATTGCACAAATTTGGTATCCAGCATTTTGACACTTTGCTTGCAATTTTTCACATTGCGTTTTTCATAAAATTTGAGAGTGTAAGAAGAACAACTTCATGTAATGCAAATTTTTGCATTCTCTACTGTTAGTTAAAATACCATACTTCTGAAGAAATGCAGCACTTTGTTGTTTTTCATCAGCCACCATTAAAAAGGGGGGAAAAAATCCATTTGATGCAAAAACAAACACTAATAAGAAAAATGGCATGAATTTAAGAGGCTGCGCATGTGCATATATCTGGGTTGCTGCATGAATAAGTTAAGCAGCATCATGGGTTTGCCGCATAACTATTTTAGTAGCATGATTTGTTGCCTCATAAATAATTTTAAGGGAGGTGTGAATAATCAGAAAGAACCAAAATCACAATAAACTATATTAAATTCATTGGTAAACAGCATTCTCTTCTAGATATGTGGAGTAAAGCAACACATGAAGCTATGCGAAATTTGCCCAGTCTGGCACATTGTGGAACGAAAGGAGTAAATGCCCATGTAAAATTTTTATCAACCATAGTGTGCATAGTCTATGAGCAGGGGAAAAAAAAAAAAAAAAAGACACAACAATGTGCAATTTGCTTTGTTTTAAATTTCTGATCTTAAAAAAAATTCATGATTCATTGTAAAACTGTATATTTAAAACGATAAGTAGTTTTGTATACGTGTTTGTTAAAATAATTACAACTTCATCACAATTTTAACATGATGTGTGTAATGAAATGTGTTTATGACATTTCAGACTAAGAAATACTATATTATTTATTTACTCATATTCGATATATTTCAGGTCTTTTTTTGAAAAGGAAATCAGTTTACTAAGAGATAGTTTATTTCAGACGGGTATGTATTTTTCACTAACTTCATGGTGCTTTGTGTTCTTTTTATTGCCCTTAAATATTTAATTTTGGTATTGGTATTCTTTTAAGGAAAATATACCACCTGATAAATTTTAGCAATATTCTATATTATGATTTTAACAGGAACAGCTCTACATAGCTTTAAAAGGATAAGGAATAACTTTGATGCAAAAACAAAGTTTAAAGTTATAGAAAACATTTAGCAGAAATAATTTATCATGATAGAAGCACCCTAAGATTATGTGCTGTGCAGACATAAATGAAAAAAGTTTTAAACTTAACCAATTTAACAATATATATATAAAAATAAAAATACAATAAATAAATTTGATCAATACCAGAAACATAACAAAACATAATCATTGTCAAAAATTACACTTAGTTAACTATTCATTAAATCCCAAGGGTTTTCCCTTTAAAAAATATTACACTATCAATGATACAATAAATATATTACCTGTTCTATGAATACTGGCATTCAATATCTCACGAAAAACATATCACGGAACAAAACTGATTAATATTTCACTTGACCAAATAGTCCTATGCTTTTGGCCAAGAAGGCACCTGAAAAATTAAACCTTGAATGTACTTGAATTGGTAAATGCCACTCACTGCAGTTGCTCATGGGAAATCACAGCTTGGTAAAACATCACCGCTAGATCTGGAACACACTTGTGTTAATGATGCCGCCTTCAGCAGTTGCTCACTGGAAACCACAACTTCAGATTTATCGCTGCTTAACCTTGGAACAGGATGCCGCTTACTGCAGCTGCTCACCGGGAACCACAACTTGAGATTTGATGCTGCTTAACCTTGGAAAAACCAACATGGCCCGGAACCATGGCACTTAACGCTGGACGACCCGCATCGCAAGAATGTCTCCGAATGAAAGCTGGAACAGCACACCAGGAGCAATGAAAACAGGAACAAGAAAGCCTAAGCTTAGACTCTATAAACTGACCGAGCTATTGCGAAGAGCAATGTTGCTGGTTCCAGAATTAAAGCCCAAGGGCACTTGATATAAAGAAATCTGGACGTGGAGAAAATCTCAGATGAGAAAACGGAGAAAATGGGAAGAAGATAAGTACCAAAAGGAGCAAGACGATCGAATCGGACAAGTTCTCAAAATGTGACGAGCGATCATAGCTTTCAAGGAGGACCCAAGACAATGCAAATCAATGACAACAATATGAGAACATACACTACAGCTATAGTTCTAATGACAAATTCAAATACAACTGAACAACCTCGATCAATAGTGCTAAATACAACACAATTTTAATACAACTATTCAACGCAATACACTACAGCAACTCAACAACAACCTAAGCAACCTATTAACAACACTACTATATCATCACAATGCGAAAAATCTCACAGCATTAGTTTTATAATTCACCAAGAATAATATTCAAGCTACAGAAGAACTTCAATCAAAATCAGATGCATTGGAAGTATAAACAGCTACTGATTCAGTAGCAAGTGAAAAAATTGTCGTTTCCTCCCATGAAGGTGTGAGCTAAGAAGGCCGAAGCCAGAGCGATGCAAGATATTTATACATGAAGTAGATATGACGTCATCTCACGGCAGCCAAACAGCTGTTGGCACGACCCAGCTTTCCAGATGACGTAACCTCGAGTTTCGTTTTTGCATCTTAATTAGGCTGGAACAGTCCGTTCTTAATACAAACAGTGGCAGTGTAAAACAAAGTAGAAATAATCACTATATCCCTTTGAAATAAAAACTAAACCTCATGTAAAAGTTAGAATTATTTCAAGGAGGAGAGATGATGCAAAGGGGATTACAAAAGCCATAATTGCAACAAACTTAAAGGAACAGTTTTAAAAGGAAGCAATACATCCTGTATGATGTATACAACATATAATAGCTAATAAAAATACACCAATGAGTGAATGCTAAATGAATTTTCCAGTAATTTTTTTCTGCGTTGGTTTTCCTGTAGGTACTTAAAAATTCATTTATGTTGATTATTGTCATAGATTTCTTGAATGTTTGGAAGACTAGTACTTGTCGTCTTTGGCAGCCTTGGTGAGAAACAAATGACTATTGATTGGTGCATGTATGAGAAACATGTAGAGACATGAGGTATTTTTGGAAGCAGGCAAGATGTAAAATTAGCAATGCCTTCGCCGGGAATCGAACCGCGGACCTCTCAATTACGCGCTGAGCGTGCAGACCACTACACCACGAAGGCTCGCTAAAAAGTCAGAAGTACCTTATATACTCCATCTTTTAAAGGGTGACTGGGGTTTTTAGAGGACCCAATTGCTAAATCCTGGGTATGGAGAATCATCATCCACTACCCTTTTAGTTCGGGTGTCACTGTAGAGACATTAGGTATTTATTGGAAGCAGGAGAAGTGAAAAATGAGCAACGCCTTCGCCGGGAATCGAACCGCGAACCTCTGGAATACGTGCCCAGAATGCAGACCACTATACCACAAAGGCGGGAGAAATACCTTATAAAAGAATGATTAATAATCTGCTTTTTTGTACTTGCATTGCGTCAGTATTGTGGTTTTTCATTGTGAGATATTTATTATACTGTGATCAGTCTTCCGTCAATGGAAAAAGAAGCTAAAGTTAATATTTAAAGCAATAATTGCTGAACTATGTCTACCAAAAACAGTTAGTAAAAAATTAATTTTCCTGTATATTTAAATATTTTTAATAAACCGCTAATTAAATTTATTAAGTAAGATAAATATAATTTTCCAGCATGTTTATATGTGTTATTTTAAATAAATTGCTGACAGAATTGTATATAATAAATAAAAATTTATATTGAATTCATTCTGTGTGTATATAGGGTGAATCTGAACAAGTAGGCAAAACTTTAGGGCAGTGGTTTCCAACCTTTTTGTACCGGCGCTCCCCTTTAAAAAAAAAAAAAAAAAAATTGGTGCGCCCCCTTTAAAAAACAAATTGTTGCGTCCCGTTAATTTATCTTAAAATCAAATTTTATAAATACTCAACTGATATTATAATTTATTTAATGGGCTACAAAATAATATACAATATTATGTAAAAATATATTTATTATAAGAAATATAATAACAAAACAAAAAAAGAATATATAATTAATACTACTACAACATAAAAATTTAATGCGACGGTTGAGCTTGTTTTTCAGCACAAATTTTCTCAAACCGTGGTATCATTGAAGAAATCGCCGTTCTCAGTTCCTTTTCAATCATTAAGCGAGATTGATACTTTGTTTTTAAAACAGCAACTGTAGAAAAACCAGTTTCACATAGGTAAGATGTTACAAATGGCAATAAAATTTCTAAAGCTTTGTTTGTCAAAGTAGGAAAATCGTCCTTTACTCGTAGCCAAAACGTAACAATATTATTTTCATCTCAAAACATCTGCTTTAATGTGCTATCACTAGATAAGTCAATTATCATTTCCTGCTCTGCTGTCGTAAGGCCAAAATCCTCATATTTTTCAATCACAAATGGGTTTCTAATCCATTCATATTTGGACATGTCAAGATCTTTAAAGTACAACGAGAATTGCTTCCATAGACTGGTCAAATGATTATTAATAAGAACTTTACTTTCTTCTATTTCATCAGCAAGACAGGTAATTTTAAAAGTGGGAAACATGTCAAAGTTATTATTTTTCAAACTTATTATCCACTGTTCCAATTTTTTCATAAATGCAGTAATCTTGTCTTTCTGTGTAAAAGCATGAATTTGAGCCCTTGCATTGATTTATTTAAAATACTGAGTCTTTGAAAAATATCAACTAAATATGCAAGTTTTACAAGGAATTTCGTGTCATAAAACAAGTGTGCTTCATCTCTATTATTATCACTAAGAAATATGGCGATCTCTTCTTTTAGCTCAAACACCCTTTGAAGTACTTTGGCACGAGAAAGCCAGCGTGCCTCACAATAGTATAGAAGTGATCTATATTCTGAACCCATGTCATCACACAATTTTGCGAAAAGCCTTCCTCTCAATGGGCTATTTTTGATAAAATTTACAACTCTTGTAATAACTTCAAATACTGTTAGTAGGTCTTCACCCATATCTCTTGAAACAAGTGATTGTCTATGAATCATGCAATGCATCCAAACTGCACGAGGAGCCACCTTTCGAACTAGTGCCTGTAGACCAGCATTTTTTCCTGCCATAGATGGAGCTCCATCTGTGCATAGTCCAACACAGTTCTCCCACAGAATGCCATTTTCATTAAAAAAATTATCAATGATTTTAAAAACTTCCCTTGCTGTAGTATTGCATTCATTAGGTTTACAGAATAACATGTCTTCTCTAACATCAGTTTCCACAACATATCTTACATATGTTATCAAGTGTGCATCCTTAAGAACATCGGTAGCCTCATCTACTTGCAACGCGAAAGAAGATAGTTTTACTTTTTCTATTAATTGATCGCAAAGATCTTCAGATCTTAAGGATGCACACTTGATAACATATGTAAGATATGTTGTGGAAACTGATGTTAGAGAAGACATGTTATTCTGTAAACCTAATGAGTGCAATACTACAGCAAGGGAAGTTTTTAAAATCATTGATAATTTTTTTAATGAAAATGGCATTCTGTGGGAGAACTGTGTTGGACTATGCACAGATGGAGCTCCATCTATGGCAGGAAAAAATGCTGGTCTACAGGCACTAGTTCGAAAGGTGGCTCCTCGTGCAGTTTGGATGCATTGCATGATTCATAGACAATCACTTGTTTCAAGAGATATGGGTTGAAGACCTACTAACAGTATTTGAAGTATTACAAGAGTTGTAAATTTTATCAAAAAATAGCCCATTGAGAGGAAGGCTTTTCGCAAAATTGTGTGATGACATGGGTTCAGAATATAGATCACTTTCTATACTATTGTGAGGCACGCTGGCTTTCTCGTGCCAAAGTACTTCAAAGGGTGTTTGAGCTAAAAGAAGAGATCGCCATATTTCTTAGTGATAATAATAGAGATGAAGTA